CACTTTGCAGAGACAGGTGATGGGACAGGTGTTAGCCTGTTCTTTCACTGGATCCTCATTACATCCTAGGAGGTGGGGGGCATTACTTTGCCCAATTTGCAGAGCAGAGAGGTTGAGTGACTTGAAGGTAACAAGACTAGTCAATGATTGGGCCAGGATTGGAAGCCAGGTGTGTCAGGCTCAAAGTCCATCAGACCTTGCTTGTCCCTCCCCGTTATGGAGGTGGCTGAGTAAAGGAGGTTGTGGGATGGGCAAGGGGGAGGCAGATGAGTTCTCAGTGTTGTTTCATATCTCCTGTAGACTCAGCATCTGGAGGTTGGGTGTTGTTGATGTGGTTAATTGTCAAGACAACCCCTTGTACAGTATGCAAAATAGAGCCAGTTCCTACAAGATGATTGGTCTAATTCAGCCCATTGGTGTACCCTGAACGCCTCCTAATCTACAGGGTTCATCGTCCAGCAGTCTATCAGGCAATATTCCCTATGGTCCTTTCAATGGATACTTTTCAGACAGAGATAGCCAGGCCTTTCTTCTTAGTCTTATTAGTCTGGAAGTTTTGCTGAAACTCATCTATCCTGGGTGATTCAGCTGGTATGTGAAATACCAGTGGCATAGCTCCCAGTATCATAGCAACACCCAGCCATCACAGTATAACTAACTGACAGATGGTGGTAGTAAGTTGGATGGTGGTGGTGGTACTCACATTGCAGTTAGCAGGGCAGCTCATAATCCACTACACTACTAGGCATCCTTTGTTGTTGTTCAGTGCTGTAGAGTTGGTTCTGACTCACAGCGACCCTGTATAGGGTTTCCAAAGAGCGGCTGGTGTGTATGAACCGCCAACCTTGTGGTTCAAAATGACCTTGAGGTCCAGTGCTTTATCCCACAGCACCACACCAGGGAGCCTTAACTGGGTTGAATGATGGTGGTGGTGGTAGTGGTGGTGGTTATGTGCTGTGAAGTCAGTTCTGACTCATAGCAACCTGGCATAGGGCTTCTGACGCTGTAAATCTTTACAGGAGCAGAAAGCCTCATCTTTCTCCCGTGGAATGGCTGTTAGTTTTGAACCACTGACCTTGAGGATACCAGCCCAATTCGTAACCACTATGCTACCAGAGCTTCTTAATGGAGTTGAATCTCTAGAGACCCTTAAAGGAAGATCTGTGACCCCTGAGGGATGTGAGACTGGCCCTCTCTGAGACCCCTACTCCTCTCCATAGAGAAGGCAGCATAGATCCGGAGGCATTGAGCAGGACAGGTGAGGTAAGCCTGGCATGGGCGGAGAAACACCTCCAAGTCCATGCTGCTGACTTGTCCTGCAATATTTTCAGAATGCCTCAGACCCCAACAGGCTGACCTAAGGACAAGGATGCTGACTGCCTCAAATGCTGCCACGGGGACCAGAATGACTTTGTTTTCACAGGAAAGAGGAAAAAATAGTTTATGCCCCAAATTAGCCAGTCTGTCATGTTTCAGATTGTTTGCTATTCTAAAAATGGACTTTGACATGTGAACAGTTATTATCTAATGCAGGACCCGATGGACCCGAAAATATCTCTCTCTCTCTCTGTCTCTCTCTCTGTCTCTCTGTCTCTCTCTCTGTCTCTCTCTGTCTCTCTCTCTGTCTCTCTCTGTCTCTCTCTCTGTCTCTCTCTGTCTCTCTCTCTCTCTCT